CAGATGTTGTGCTCCTCACTGCTCTGTGTGTCTTTCTGCTTCCTCTCCAGTGTGTATGTAGCACACAGGAGCATGTGAGATGTGTGATGCTGCCATGTGAGAGTGGGTGTGACTGTGAGAGGAAGCAGGATGCTGTGTCAGGTCTGGTGTTAAATGCACATTCATGTGGGTGGCTAAGAAGACAGGGAGCAATGCTAGGGGATTAGGAAACATGGCCTTCAAACAACTTCTTCTTTTAGTATTATTTTCATTAAAGTGAGGCACTGATACCGTTTATAAAATGATACGGACCAATGTGATCACATGATAAAGGATGGCAGCAAAAGATCAGTGGCTTATCTAAACTATTCATAACCTTATATCCAAACTAACCTATCGAATGATTCTCTTTACTGAAATAACTAAACATACATTAGCCATTTGATTGAGTACCTTTATCATGTCAAAATGACATTACGGCAGCACGTTGTCTCCCCTGGATGAGCGGGCTTCCCGTGTAGCAGACGGATTGCAACACCCCTATTTCAATGTCTACTTCTAACAAATGATGACATGGAACAAAAGCTGATTAATCGTCACAATCCAAATGAGATGCTTGAAAAACATTTGAATATTGCACAAGCTGCAAGGCATCCTAACAATATGACTCCCCTCACTCTCTTGCAGCACCACTATCTTTTGAATCAACCCAAACCATAGTTAATGATCACCTTTCCGTAAAGAGTGTGTCTCCTCCTGCTGCGTCTGAGGGAATGTGGAGATGCTCTTTTACAATGTGCCCAGGCAGCCTGGAGATAAGCCTGACTCTCCATCAATCATAAAGGCAGCATGGTTCTGTCTGCAGTGCGTGTGCTCCCTCGGTCCTGCCCCATGGTGCCTGACCTTCACACATACTCACACACAGTATACAGGACATGTGTAGATGCCTTCTCCTCTCTCTTTGCATTTGCTTTCTTGATCTCAGTGTGGTCTCACCAACTGAAATATTGATGTGAGGAGACTGTAGTTTGTTGTGTTGTTGTTTGGAGAAAGTGCCATCCCTTGGTCTGGGCTTTGTGTGGAGGCACTGAGGCTCAGACAGATCAACAGCATGGGTCCATATCCTGCCCATCTGCATCAACCTGCAGGATTCTGTGTGGATCTCTTTTGTATACAGCCCATTCCTTCAGAGTGGAAGAGTTGTGTCCTTGTTTACTCCTGACACACAATCTGCTCTATTCTCTTTTATCTGTACAATCTGTGTTTTCCATGCTAATAGCTTCCCTTTTTGATGCATGCATTTACCTCCTACATTAGTCTCCATGAGAACCAATCCTGTAAAAGCGCTATCCAAGAAAAGCCCAATGTCTACAGAGTGATGTCACTATGTTACGGAAGTACACAAAAGAGACCAATGGAGGTGTTTCAGGCAGGGGGGAGTGTGTGGGAGAGAAACTCCCTCTGGAGGGAACTATGGGATTTTAGCCTTTGCAGACATTTGAATGCACAAAACACCTATATGCTACAAGGAAGATAACCCCCCCCCCCAAAACATAATAGAGCCCCATTAATATAAATCAGATTGCACTGCAAGTTTTATTTATTATTTAGAGGCAGGTGTTGGGGAAACTTCTGAAGCAATTGGAGTCAGGACTCAGAGAGACACGAGGAGAGCTGGAGCTTTGATGGCAAACACTGAGAGCTTCGGCCGGAGAATTCACAAGACATGTCACGGGCCACGGTTTGACCACACGGTAGAGATGCCACAATACATTCTGAAGAACACTTGGACCCTGAATCTAACTAGAGCTGTCGTCCATAGAAAAGAATGTGCGCCAGGGAACCTAGGTTCCAGAGAAAAGAAGGGCTTCTAGATGTCCCTGAACAACAAACTATCTCATGGCGGCTTGTGCTCGGTCATAAGCTGGCAACAACAATGCGCCCAGCTGCCCCTCCTTAAGAGAGTTAGCAGCAATACCAAAGGCCGTAGACCTATGCCGTGGGAAAAGAGACAGTGAAGAGAGAAAACGATGAACTGGGTCGAAGGTTGAATACCTAAGCAAATGATTCCCTAACAGCAGGAGTCTCCACTCTCTGTGTTAGCTCCTTCACTTCTAAAACAGCTCTGTCATCAAAGTTAGAGGTGCGGAAAGATCCAACTTTGATCACCTGCTTAAAGTCCTGAGTCTTTATACTGTAGCTCATCAGCTTTGCAGAATCCTCCACCCCTCCTCCCCCTTGAGCACTCATGTTTTTTTAAACGGCAGAGAGCTTGGGGGAGAGCCAGGTACACTATTAGAGGGATGACTCAGAAGTGGGAGAGAAGGTAATCCTGGCTCTCCGATCTCAAAATATCCCTGCTCGTCCTTTTATTTTGCTGCTTTTCTCCACTCTGATACCTCTCGGCACCGCTATGAAGGTTCTTACCTATCAACTTTTATTTGACAGACCCATCTCGCCACTCTCCTGCATTAGCCTCCAAAACATTGTATTGTACCTTATTTTTCACGTAAAGTAAAGAGGGTGTACTTTTGTCAGCCAGTGAGCCTGGGCTAGCATGGCATGAAGGGCAAAGACTCGCGAAGGCAGCTGGGGGTAGGGAGAAGGAGAGAATTGATTTTCCAGAGAAGTCTGCCCTCGGGGCTCCGACTGGCTCCTGATGGAAAAGGCCAGCCAGTGACCTTAAGGCTCCACTGATCCTATTTTCTATCCAGAGATGACGGTTTTTTTATATTGCAAAGCCAGAGTGTTTATTCAGAGGCAAGCTTCAGCACTGCTGGATCAGAAAGGTGTCAAAGACCTGTGTGGTGTACCCGATGGAAGCTTTGTGATGGTGTGTATACTTAGTGTGTGTTGGTGTATTTCTGTGAATGCGAGCGTAACCCTGTTTGCCCTTCACCGAGAGCACAACATCCCCTCTGGCATTTCTGGGAGACGGAGAAGTAACGGGATGAGAGACGCTCGGAAAAACAGACGAATCACAACACACACACACAGTCCCATCGGCTGGCTGGCAGCCATGACAGATGGGGGAGTTCAGTTCGCAGGGGGGGGTTGCCATGGAAACGAGCATCAGTGCTACCCTGAGCCTCTCTGCATAAGCCGAGAGAGATAGAAAGGCTGCAGCGTGGGCAGCCTTTAGCTGCTTGTTTATGACTTATTGTTGTTGCGCAACAAGTCGTCAGGTTCACGACTCATTTCCTAATTTTAGAAGCGAGGGACAGTGATTGGCCGCTTGTGCGAATCCTAGTGTTTGCAGTTTATAGATTTGTTTACGAACGACAGCCATGATCAGTAACTGTGTCAGGGAGAAAGTGTGTCACGCCGAGCGGACAGAGGGATATCTCCTCCCCTCCTCTCTGAGCTGCCACACAGAGGACAGTTATCACATCCATCCTCTCATTCCCCTCTACATTTACATCACTCTGAACAGCAGCTTCACACTTTCTGCCCTTTTTCTCCTCGCTCTTTGATTCCTGTCATCGATCCCGTTTAAGAGCAAACGTTGCAGAGCACCAATCGGCTCAGGAAGGGTCTAACTAGATGTGACAGCCGCTAAAGGCCAATCTAGCCCGACAACGCCATATGGATCCTTACTGCGACGGCCCTCCTGCTCCATTGCTCCTGTTATTTATCCTCATGTGATGAAACATGCACTCAGAGATGATTTTAGAGTATACAGCAGCATAATCATGCACATACACTATTATTCTCTCACACACGCACACCTCTGCCTTGCACAATCAATGTCATAAAACAAACAACTACACTCGAAACAACAACAAAAAATGTCCCTTCAATTATTTTGGCTTCTTGCTTTAAATGTTTCAAACTATGCCACCAAGCAGATACTATACACTATTTTGTTATCAACGAGGCTAATCTGCAACCTACTGATCAATGAAACCGTCATTTGAAAGGAATTGTTCCACTTTTTCGGAATTTAATAATATAACCATATTAGATTTGTTAAAGAATTTCCTATATTTTTGAGTAGGCAACAGTTTATACTGACGGCTCTGTGCAGCTCACTACATGACTAAAAGCATTCATCATAGCTACATTTGCACAATACCATAAAAAAATTGACAAATAAAACAAATAAAGCTTACATTTAAATTCCCCTTTAACTTTGTTTATCAGGGGCTTTGGGGGAGGGAGAAACGATGAATGATTTAGGGAGCGCTGGATTATTTATACTCTATTAGCATCTGTGTATAATTAACATAATGTATTTGTATATGCACATTGACCAATAACGTCTTAAAACAATTCAGATGAATACATACAGTATTTAAAATGGCTTGTGGTGGTTGACTCCAAATGGAAAGTGTAGTCCACTACCTGCTGCTGTTTGATTATCATCAAGCTGAGATTGAATGGCATATGTGTCACTTCTTGACAATCTACACACAGCTCCATCCAAATGAAACTGGACTATAGGTCTAATCAGCCAGGTCTTAATGTGCTTCTAACCTCATGTAGGGATGTGGGCAGCTGAAGGGTTTTAAACATGTATTAGTTGCCACCTAATCACCTTGGTGACCTCTGAGCCAAGAACTATCTCACATCTCAATTTCTCTTCATTCACAAACAAATCATCTCTTACAGTACGTACAATATCTCATGTCTGAAAATACTACTTCAAACAGAGTAATGGCATGCGTGTGTAAGAGTGTGAGAATATGCATGAGTGAAAGAGATTGAGTTTACACGAGAGTGCAGTGTGTGTATGTGGGATCATGATGAAGTATGATGAATGGCCGGAACAGCCTCTCATACCTCCGCCCTCACACACAGGGGTCACTAATGGATCTGCATATTATATTCCTGTACATTAAACTATGTGAGGATGTAATGCGTGGCAAGCATATATATCACTGTTGTAGTAATAACTGAATATGGATTAACCTTGATTGTATTTGTGAGTATTCTTCTCCTGATGTGTGCTTTACCTAATGTATCCTTACACCTGCCAATAACCTAATCCCCTTTTTCCATCTCTTCTTTCCTCTGTCCAGTGAGAAGAGGAAGCTGCAGGTGAACATCACAAGTCCCATCCAGTGCAGCATGAACGGGAGGAAGTGCACGGTCATCGTCGAGCCCAAGATCAACCAATCACAGCCAGACTTCACCAAGAGCAGATCGGGTTACATCCTGGCTGTTCCTGGCAACTAAAACAAATGGGCCAAATGAAAACCGTGACAGCTGATTTCAGAAGCAGGCCATGATGATGATGATGATGATGATGAAGATGATTCAGCTCTGATTCACTTCTTTTGTGTCACCAGCATCTGATTGTGTGACGATTTAGATAGCTCTGTAGGAGGGTTGTGGTAATTAAATCCTCCGTATGCAAAGCCATGCCAAATTTGACCTGTTTCGTAGACTTTTATGCAATGTTACTATGAACAGGAAGTGTGCTTTATGCCTCCATGCAAGATACACAGGTTTTTATAAAATGCACTACAGGATAATCCACCAAAGTGGTGTTCTTTCTTTTTGAAAATCCAAATTTCATATGATTTGCTTTGTGCAATATTTACTTTATCGTAGTAGTTAAGATGAGAGGAGATGAGTGGGGGGGAAATCGAAAAAGGCTCTACAGGAATGTATACTTGGGGCAGCTCCCTGGGTAGTACAAATCTAAACCGGAAGTAAGATGATATTTATGTATGACTGATTCTTCATGAACTTGATTGATTATGCTAAAGTAGAAGAAAAAACCCTTTTTGTGGTATTCTAGGGAATATTAATGAAGACTTACCTACCTGCTAAATGAAAGGAAATGCAGCGTCCACTTTGAGTTATGAAATGTTTACAATCACGTGAGAACAGCGACGTGTGGTTCAGTGGTTCAGTCCGTGTCTGAGGCACCGACTCTAAACTCATCGTAGACGCTGAGCAGGATGTGTTGAGCATGTCCTGATTAACCTGCTATGCAAAGTGTTAAAAAATCTATTAATTTAAATCCTGCTTTGTATACTCTCTACTGCAATATGTACTTTTATAATCCTCTAATACTGCTTATATATTAAAGATAGAATATACCTTTTGTGACGGCACTTAAACTGCATTAATAGATACTAGATATCCAAAGCATTATACTTTCCAAAGTATATTCAATTCCTAGACTTACGTTTAGTAACAGAGTGTTGCTGGCCAGTACTGTATAATCCCACGTGAACTCCAGCCCCTGAACGTAGTCTGTCTTTGTGGTGGGTGAATAGCCTAATGAACTGTAATGTTCCTTCATCCTGTGGAACAGACACATCTCCCACTCACCAGAGAGAGAGTGTGTGTGTGTGTGTGTGTGTGTGTGTGTGTGTGTGTGTGTGTGTGTGTGTGTGTGGTGTGTGTGTGTGTGTGTGTGTGTGTGTGTGTGTGTGTGTGTGTGTGTGTGTGTGTGTGTGTGTGTGTGTGTGTGTGTGTGTGTGTGTGTGTGTGTGTGTGTGTGTGTGTGTGTGTGTGTGTGTGTGTGTGTGGTGTGGTGTGTGTGTTCATTAGCTCCTTTTAGCTCTCCTCTGCTCTTGGCTGTGAGTGAATGTCCAAAGTGAAGGAGTGAAGTCTGGCCTGCTTTCCCTCCCTGTCTAATAATGGGTGAGACATGTTGTGACTATTTGGAGATATTGGCTGTGGACAAAGTCTAGTTAGGAAGGTTCCTTACTAAATGATCTATAACATAGACTCCTCCAACATCTATCATTTCTGATTATTGCCTCTTTACACAGGAAATCCTCATTGTCAAATTTAGAAGGAATGGATTAGTTTGTCTTCATTTCTCCATGCTTTATGTTCAGGTCTTCATGATGACTTGACAGTAACTTGTTGGGATGAGAAAAGCAGAGATGTATCATCTCTACCCTCAGAGACAAAGAGAAGAGAGACAGGGCTCTGCCCCCCTCTCTGTGTCTGGCCCAGTTGGCGAGGCAGAGGCACTCCTGTCGTCTTTACTTCAACAGGAAGGAAAAACTTGTTAACAATCACTTGTTAGCCACGGCGCTCTAATTGTTCCCGAGCATTGTGCAGTCCAGTCATTTATCTTAATTAGTTTGCAAGTGTCCGTGTCTTTTGGTTTGGAGAAGCAAATCTCCTTCCTTTGTACTGGAGAGGCTGACCTTGACCCGACACTTTGATGCAGAAGATAATTGTTTGGGGATACGGGTGCATTCATTGTGTGGAGTAAGGAAGTGACATTGGTAGCATTAATGGTGTGTGTGTGTGTGTGTGTGTGTGTGTGTGTGTGTGTGTGTGTGTGTGTGTGTGTGTGTGTGTGTGTGTGTGTGTGTGTGTGTGTGTGTGTGTGTGTGTGTGTGTGTGTGTGTGTGTGGACTCTAACACTGCAGCTCTCCATCTCCTCTTCTCCTCCTCTACTAGCCGCTCATCATTAGGATGGACTCCGTGCCACTTCTCACTTCAGCGATTCTCTTTCCTTTTCTTTAGGCAAAAAGGGGGGTGGGTGAACAAAGCCTCGCTTGGCTTCCTCTTCTTCTCCACTTCCTTTCTTTTCCCCTCCCTCCCTGCCACACTCTTCTTCCTCTGTCAGATCAATTCTCTTCTCGCCCAGTAGGGCTGTCTGTACTGTGTTTTTGTATTCTTTCCGTCCTATGCCCAGGAGGCGTGGAAATAAAGAGGCGAAATACACCAGCAACAACACTTCGCAAACAATAGGAGTATTTTGCAGCTATGAAAATGAGAAAAACAAAATGTTTATAAAACAAATGAAATGGAAAAGCTGTGGTTCCAAAACCTGTTAAAGGATTAGGATAGTCATTTTCTATTTGAGTTATTATCAAATCCCATGAAAACAAACAACGTGGTATCTGTCTCTCATTACTTTGTGACGTCCTAAATCTTCAAAAACAGCTGACGATATGTATCTTTCAATACATTGAAGCTGTTTCTTATAGTAAATGAGTTACTACTTGTTAGGGACTATTTTTAGTAGCGGATGAATCCACATGTTGTGTTCTTGATAATGAAGGAAAGTGTTAGCCAGGGAAACAGTCTGCCAGACTGCTGAGTGATTTGATTTTTTTTAATTTTTTTTTTTTGTGTTGAGTTCCAATCAGTCAAGATTACATTGTATTCATTATCAGCTTTACCGCAGGTGTAAAAATCACTTTTCCTAATAACGCTTTATAATACTGTAAACGAATGTCAAATATGAATGTTGACACTATGAGATTGTGCCATGTGTTTGTCTCTTGTTCTATAGTGGGATCTTTTCCTCTAGCTTAACTACAACACTAATACCAAGCCTATCCATGTTAGCCAAAGAGTAAAACATTCCAATTTATTTCCCATAATTTATTCCATACTCTGTATACATCATTCAGTATGTGCCTCATTTGATTAAGTTTGTATTTTGCATATTCGTGATTACATACCGTAAATATTCTGTCATATCCAGACCAAGTCTAAAGGGACCTTCCCCGTTGTAATATTTTTTTTGCAAATGAACTCCGTATAAATGCAGATTCCATGATGTTCCATAATTAAAAATATTTCATTAATCATTTTATTAATAAATGTATTTGCATCAATGGCTGCTGTCATTTTCTTCCTAGTGTGTGTGTGGTCAGATAAACTGTTGTAATGATGTTATTCTGTCTCTAATGTTTCCCGAGGCCATACTGTGAGGCTGGAGCTCATCGTTAATCCGCCGACAAACAGCTGTTTCAGCGGGTGACGTGGAAACAGCTAAAACCCCTGCAGTCGGCATGACAACATTGCTTCCCACTGCCACTGTGAGCCATCAGCAGCCTCCTCAGCAGGGTGTATAATCCACTGATGGATGACTATCTGCAGAGTGGGACGACTCTGTTTCCCCTCAGGGAGGTGACTGAGTCAGACAGGACTCACTGACCTGGTGGTTAAATAAATGGGAGTTAATGGAGAGAGAGCGATATGCAAAGAAAACACTGACCCAGACTGATCTGCATGTGTGAGGAGATACACACTGATTCACAGGGAGATGCTTCTTGGAAGATTCTTGTCGCTATGGAAATAATACATTGATTTTTAAAGATTATTTCCATAGTTGTGTTTTGGACATAAACACGGTTAATTTGATTGACATGTGTATGATGAACACTGGCAGAAAGTTAGAATATTTCTGTTTCTATTAATTGTATTTATTTTTAAAGGTGAGACTTCCTGAACCTTCTCGGAAATGAAACTTAATTTTGTTGTGTTTTACATGTTTAAACTAAATATTAGGGCCCGGACTTTAACGCGTTAATTAAGATTAATTAATTACACAAACATTAACGCGTTAAAAAAATTAACGCATTTTAATCGCACTTATTTTTGCACCGCGGAACGTTTCTCACTGGATGAGTTTCAGGCGTACCGATTATACTGGAGCACCAACTAACGTTCATGACTTCAGACAACAACAAACCACAGTGAACAACAGTGGGAAATGTTGTTTTAAAAAACGGACGGATGGAAGCGTCGATAAGAGCACGGTTGTGTGCAAATTATGCAAAAAGGAATTCGCATATCACCGCAGCACATCAAGCCTCAAGTATCACCTCAATGCAAAACATATAGCAGCTAGCGTGGACGTTAGCCTCTTTTATCGCGTTCACACCAAAAAGAGCCGGTACTAAAATTAGTTCACCCCACGAAAGTCCCTGCTAGAGAGCAGAGACTTTCGTACGGCTCTCTTGTGAGAAGAGAGCTATATGTCTGATTGGCTGGGCGGATTGCAAACCACGCCCCGTAAAACTCCCAAAAAGTGTTGTGAAGCATTGTCGCCATATCCTCGCATTAGCATTATTAGCATTAGCCCAGCGCAGAAACGCAGAGAGACTAACTTATGGCAACACAAAATAAAACATGGGAGCGGTGGAGATGAGGAGGTGTCGGCGTTCTGGCGATTTACTCGGAAGGCTGCTGGGACTCCCAGCAGCTTCTACTGAAGCCAGTCCCCAACTCCGGGGACTTCCGGCCGGGGACTTTGGGCGGCAGTATACGCCGTGAAGTGGTTTGCGGCCTGCCAGTAAATCCAAAGCAGAAGAAGAAGAAGTGACGTCAGCGGCTTCATTTGCCTAATCCTCCTCCAGGTTCAAAGAGTTCTCATGAACCTTTGTGGGAAAAGTACTGCGGTGTGAATGCGCCTAAAATCCATGTGAAAAAAATTGCTTCTCACTGTTCTCAGGTCAAATATTTATATGTGATTAAAAATGCGATTAATTTCGATTAATTAATTACAAAGCCTCTAATTAATTAGATTAATTTTTTTAATCGAGTCCCGGCCCTACTAAATATCTAAATGTAAACACACAAATAGGAATACAGACTGATACAGTATGAGGCTGATTTTCCGGACCCTCCTCCCATCAGGATGTCATTTGTAAATGTTAAGCAGCTTCTTTGATTGAGAAGGCATAAACACTTAAAAGCAAGGGAGCGTGAAGAAAAGTCCGTAAATATATTTTGTAAAACGATCGAAATAATTGTGCAATATATGGTTGGCAAAATCAGTTCGTACCACTTCAGGTGTCTGTTGTACAAATAATAACACGCCCAAGATCCTTCTTCTATCCCTCTTAAAGGGACAGTTCACCCCAAAACACAAAATATACTTACGTGTAGTTGACCAAACTGCACCCAACAACCGTACAACTGCCTAGAATGAAAGCGTGCATGAACTCATGGAAGAGTGACTCAGGCTTGTGACAGCGAGAAATGTAAACAATAATGACATCCTCCTCAGCTGAGCTGTAACGTGAGCTAACTTTGTCAAAGCATGTTTGTTTTCACACATTGATACGGTTGGTGGGTGTACTTCAGTAGATAGAAAGAATAGGGAGAAAAATAGTTCCTGCTCACCAAAAGGTCCGTGGATGATCTCAAGTAAACAGGTCATGATTTCTGGAAAGAGACATTGCTGTTAACTTTTACAAATGTGCTTTTTGTTCAACACAAGCCAAGTGCCATTTAGGTCCATTATATTGGAAATAAGTCAGTCACTCTACATCCGATATCTCCAACACTCAACTCACACTGAGGCAATCGAGACGGATAAATAGCACTACAGGTAAG